GCTTGCTTGCTTGCTTGCTTCGTTTCCTACTTGCCTACTTATTTACTTACTTACTTACTTACTTACTTGCTTGCTTGCTTACTTACTGACTTACTTACTTGTATGCATGCATGTATATATACATAATTTGTACCTATCTACAGAGAGAGAGAGAGAGATCTGTATGTATATATATATATATGGATATATTTAAAGCATCCAGCGCATTTCTTGCAATTGGCCTCCACGACAGGGCCCACGAAACGTGCCGCATCAGTGGAAGCCTCGGTCTGCTATGAGGTCTGCAAGTTCAAGGGCCAAAAAGAGGGTTTAGGGTTTAGGGATACAGCTCTTGAGGTCTAGGGCTCGGAAGCTTGGGTTTAGGGTTTAGAGCCCAGGCTTGGGAGCTTAGGCTTCGTGTTCAAAGTCAAAGTTCCATGGAGTTCAAGACAGCAAGAAACTCTCTGCACTTGGGCATATCCGCGCCTCATGGTTCTCGGATGTACTGAATCTGAAGCCACAAGCAAGACCTCACAGTAAGCCCTGCGAACAGACCTGGAATCCGCGAGGTTCCACCCACACCTCTTCATCGGGGTGCCACAAAATTCTAGCACATGCATTGGCAGTTGGAGCCCTTATGCCCGTGATGGCCCCTTCGGCAGAGGTCTTAAGAGGAAAGTCTAGGGTTTAAGGTTTTGGGGGGTGGGCAACATTCCCAGGATAGGACGCTGGGCTCGAACTCAAAGACAAGACCCTGAACTCCAATACTCGCACCCGCGGAGTTGACACAAATCGTCAAAACCAGGCTGCCGTGTAGGCCTCGTCAGTGTCTGCAGCATCCTGAAATAGCCAGCTACTTCTCCCGGCAAGCGAGGAACTCTGTCTCCGCAATATACCCCACAAACTCAACAGCAACTAGGAGCACAATAAAACAAACACTCCACCACCACTGCAAAACGAAATTCCAGACCATTGTGCCTTCAGTCCCAAACCGCTATGCAGGGAATATCGGTTTTAGGGGCGTAGGAAACGCTTCGACAGCGAACCTGAAGCTGCATTGTGCACGTCCATAAAGCCCCAAATCCGAAGAGAAGACTCAAGCCCTGCACCCTAGCACCTGAAACTCATCAGCCCCAACGAAACCCTAAACCCTAAACCCCGAATGAAACCCTAAAGCCCAAACCCTTAACCCCACGGGAAAACCTAAACCCATTAAACTCTGAAGAGGTGATACTCTCGAACGGCCATGCACTTCTCAGACCAGGAGTTCTACATTGTACGGCTTTAGGGTTTTGCGCTTTAGGGTCTAGGGCGTTTAGGGTTTAGGGCTTTTAGGGTTTAGGGCTTCTGGTTTATGGTTTAGGGTTTTTGGTGAGCACCGGAGCCGGTCACCGTACACAGCCGAAATTGCTCCACCTTCGGGCGCTGCGAGTGCCAGCGATGCCAGGCTTTCGCCATGTCTACAGCCCGGCTGAAGTCGTAGTTCTTCTTGCGAAGGGAATTTCCTGAATCCGGGGTCGTTCGGAATGTAGGACGGAAGGTTTTGGGGTTGGAGGCTCTGGGGCTAAGGCACGATAGGCGTGCTGTGTGGGATCAAGGGCCGCTGCGCTTCGGCGTAGGTACCGTTGTGGGCTGCGGACACTTGCGCATCCCGTGTCGCTCCTAGGGGGTCTCAGAGTTAAAGGGCCCCAAATCGCTCTGAAATGTCTCGGACCCATGGCTTGGAGTTGAAGCTGCGGGAGTTCAGGCTGTAGGCCTTTTACGGTTAAGGGTTTTTGCGGAGTTAAGGTGGAATGATACGAATTGCATCCCTGGGGGATAAGTGTTCAAGGCCTCGAAAACCTCACAAGATGTGCCTTCACGGAATCGGGTGTAGCACAAAATCACCGATGGGACAACAACGCGCATGTTATTTGAGACAATCTAACCATTTGAGACGATCTAACCGTGCAGTTGTCATACTTGAACGCCAAGTGCATCTCAGAACTGTGAAGGACTGTGAAGGATGTCTTGGCATGCTGGGGCCAGCGAATGCTGAGCGAAACCTCGATGTGAAGGGACACCAGTGGAACGATCAAGTCAATGCGGGGCGTAACCCGCGGATCTCCAAAGCTTCCTACCGAATATGATGCGGCCGTCAAGTGCCGCGGAAATCACCAAACTCCAGCTTAGGACAGACCCAGAGCACAACTCAGATGCCATGGCGCGGATCTCTTCATTGAAGATATTCAGCTCTCCAGGCACGATCCTTCAACAACTCCACAGCATGGGAATGCGACTCGTCTGGATCTGGGAAAAGCTCGTATCCCTCAACCCTGTTGATGTGGCAGAGGTCCAACGCTCATTTCAGGAAAAGGAAGGAATTCGATCCTGCAAGTTCCCGGAACCACTGTCTCTCTGCTGGGTAGCAGGGACCATGGGGTGGGAGTTTGCCGATGAGCGACGGCTGCAACACACAATACTGACTGTCAGCTCAAGTATGTGCACTCAACCATGATCACCACCCCAAACACTCTGCAAGAAGGATAAGGCGGGCCTGACAACTTGCATTGACTGTAGAGCCCGGCGTAAAGACAGACTGCCGGTCTTCAACTTTTAAGGGCTGCGATCCCCAGCTTGCCTAACGGCCAGAATGATTAGCATGTATGACCCTGTTGTGTCGATTTGTTCTTCACCATCTAGAATCGAAAATGTAAGGCCAAACCCTGCTCCAATTATCCAAGGTATCAAGGTCCCTATTTACTATTTTGGGGGATTCCTTACTATAGTTATAGTACACTGTACCCCAAGACCCTATTCCAAGTATCAAGGTCCCGACATGAAACCCGTATAGAATTATTCTGGACCTCTGCAAAAATGATCTTTAAAGAAGCCCCTATCTAAGTATCAAGGAATCCTAAACCCTTAACCCCTAAACCCTAAACCTAAACCCTGAACCCTAAACCCTGAACCCTAAACCCTATAGCTCCGGCTGGGGTCCCAATGTGCGGAATCTTCTGATGCCACTCGCAGCCTTTCGACAGCGCTTTTCCGTCCTCGCGGCAGGGACGACTGGGCCAGGGTCCGAGGTAGATCTCGTTTGGGGGGGATGCCATAAATACCATAATATGGGGGCCTGAATAGATTGAGTGGGATTTGAAGCGGGATATTCTGTTACAGGTACAGCGGCAAAAACTACGGAATACTATCCTTAAGCATTTCCGAACCAGAATATTGCACCAACCCACCAGCCCTAAACAGAAAGAGACCCTCCTTGTCCACGTTCTTGCCATCCACGATATGCCCACTGGCGAAGCGGCAGTTCAGACCGGCAGGGCACATCCCAAGAGCCTGTTTAAGGATTCCAGCGTTTAAGGTTAAGGTTTAGGGTTTAGGGTTTAGGGTTTAGGGTTTAGGGTTTAGGGGTTTCCAGGATTTCTGGACGAGGCGACGCAGCAGCGTCTTGGTTGGGGTGGAAGGCGCTAGTCGCGCAAGGTTGTTGTCGACATCAGAGAAGTTCGAGTCTCGTGTTCTACCCTCTGGGTAGTTCTCTAAACTAGGGTCTTTTTTCAGGTCCCCAATCCAATACGGCGCCCTTATAAAAAAGGATCCTAAAAGGGACCCCGATTTAGAAAACTACCCATATAACTTGATCCAGATTTGATACATGCATGGCCGGCCTTTCGTCCAAGAGTCATTCCAACTCAAAGAGTCATCGCATACCCTTGCCACCCGATTCTGCGCAACACCCTCATCACGGCCAGTGCCACCCAGTCATTTCCGGTATACATGTAACATGTACCTATAAAGCTGGATAACACACCTCCTGGCCACAAAAAAACCTCCCTGTGGTCGCATTCAACCCGAGAGACTGAGTCCTCAACCCTGATAACCTCAAAGCCTGAGCCTACCACCGTAAACCCAACGCTTTCTCTCTTGCGCCTTGAAGACGGGGCAATCCGACGAGATCTCCGGGAGCTTGCAGGCATTGAAGGCATCCAAATCATGGTTCTGGGAACACCTGGATGCGATTTTGCACGACATCCGCCGATGATGGCGATGGCGACGGCGACAACAATGGTGATGATAGTCATCATGATGATGATGGTGGTGATGATGATGACAATGCTCATGACGATGGTGATGATGATGATGGTGGTGGTGGTGATGATGACTGGTGGTGGTGGTGGTGGTGGTGGTGGTGGTGGTGGTGGTGGTGGTGATGTTGGTGGTGGTGGTGGTGGTGGTGGTAGGTGGCGGTGGTGGTGGGTGGCGGTGGTGGGCGGTG